CATGCCATAGACTAGTAATAGCACAAACATCTAAATATGTATTAGAGAGGCTGCAAAATCCTTTTATTTTAATGAGTTGATTTCTAATCAAATTGACTTCAAATATATTTACAATTTTTCACACATTAATTGTGCTTACTTCCTACAAAGTATGTAAGTTCTTACTTAAAAGTACAAAGGCAGCAGTTTTTAATTCTATCATGATATTGTAATAGGAGCAGGAAAGAATTTTATGAATGAAAATTCACCTGGTTTAAGAACAAGCACAGAGCCTTCTTTAACTGTCAGAATGTTTTCTTAAGGAATTTTGCCTTGGGCAAGTCTCTGCTTTTAGAATAAATCAGATCTAGCTCAGTTTTATCAGTGTTTTGCTTTTGGCTGGATGTTTATTTTGCAAGGAAAACTCAGCATCAACAGTTGGGTCTAGGTTGAACATTAAGGAAATTGTGTCCATACTGTAGAGTCTGCATGAATTGCCTTTTGCTAGTGATTTATTTGCTTTTTTCCATATTTCTTCAGAAAGGAAATAGAATATATTTCTTCTTAAAGTAATAGGATTTATTATATAAATTTCAAAAAAGAAGCAAAATAGAAGTTATTGTATTTAACTGTACATTGTAATACCACCAATTAGAATATGTCTTTATTGCATTTTTGTGTCCTTTCTTCTGGCATTTTTCTCCCTCTGTATATTTGGGTGATGCTGTATAATTTTGATTATTTAATATACACAGTTTTATATCATGTTTCTACCTCTGCTTGGATCCATTAATTTATTCTTTCAACAAATATCCATTGAACAATTTAACATCTGTTATATTTTAACTTTAACTTTTATTTTTATTTTAACTTTATATTAAATTTTAATAGTGGCATAAAATCCCATAAAGTACAGTACCATTGTTTATATAATCTATATTCTATTGAACATTTAGTCTCTTGTCCTATTTTTGATCTCTGAAGGTTTTTTAATTTTAATTCTTACTTTTTTGTTGCAATATAACATATACAAGTTGTAAATCCAAACAGTAAAAAGGAGTTTATATGAAAAATTTCCTCCCATCTCAGAAATCCAGATCCCTACTCATCTTTCCTTTACTATGATTGACTTCTCTTCCTTTAGAAGCAGTCTGCAAACATTATGGAGAAAACCTCTTAGCTGCAAATGCTTCTTGGTATTCAGTTATACGGGTCTTTATTATTATTATTGTTACTTATTTAATCAGTTCTTTGTTGATGTGTACCTAGGTTATTTATGAATTTTCTGCTATTTCTCTATCCTATTAGGTTGGCCACTTAGTACTGCTTGAACAATGTTAAATTGTTCTTGACTTTAATTAGGATGTATCTAGTTTTCCAACATTAGGCAAGATCCTGGCTTTGAGCGTCAGGTAGAAAATCTTGTTAAGGAACTATCCATCTATTATGTTAATGTGTTTTAAAAATCAAGAGTGGATTGTTGTATTTTTAGTATCTATGGAAATGTATGCATTTTTTCTCCTTTGATTTTATTAACTTGTGGGGATACACTGAAAAATTTCATAGGATCTACCATCCCTGCTTTCTTAGGATGAATTTATGAAATACAGAGTTGTAGTCATACTGTGTACACAATTTGTATCAATTTTTTTCATCTTAACATAGGAAAGTTTTATTATTTCATCTTAAATACTTAGCATATATTACCATTTTTTAATAATTATCATTCTGTTGTTGTGTAATGAACTTATTTCCATTCTAAGCTATTTTAAACAATGAGAAATGTCAAATGAATTTTTGATTTATGCATTTATTAATTAGTAGTGAGCCCTAATCTTGTAGTCTTAAATAATTTTAACATTAAATACTGCAATTTGAGTCCCCTCTCTCTCACTATGGTGGAAAATTTAGTTTGCAGCCCCATATAAATATTTATATAGTAGAAATAAATATTTATTTGAAAATCAGAATTACAGAGGAAGGGAGAGACAGAAATCAATCTTCTATCCACTGGTTCACTCCCCAACACTTCAGCGCTGGGCCATCTTAAGTGAGGAGGCAGGAGCTTCTTCTAAGTCTCCCACATGGGTGCAAGGGCTCAAGAATTTGGGCTGTCCTCCACTGCATGTCCAGGCACATTAGCAGGGAGTTGGATTGGAAGTGGAGCAAACAGGACTTGAACCGATGCCCATATGGGATGCTAGCATCGAATATGATGGCTTAACCTGTTGGGCCACAATGCTGGCCCTTCCAATATCTTTAAGGATCTTCTGGGACTTATTTTTTTATAGCTATATCTAGTTTGGATTTTTTGGCTTCTACTGTATTTTGATCTATCTCTGACCTTTCGTGGCAGCTTCTTTCTGTTCCCTTAATTGAACCTAGATTGTTCTCCCTGTCTTAAATTTTCCAAAACATAATCCAAAGACAGCTGTCAAAGGTAGTTCCCCATAATAGATATTTACTGTTGATTTCATATTTATACAATAGATAAGATTATCATTAAACATTCTTGTTCTTACAATTTCCTTAGTTTTTTGTGCTATTGGGAATTTCTCACTTTGTAACTTTTCCTTGAATGTAATTGTCCATCTTCTCCTTTCATCTCTGGACTTCCTCGATCCCTTTCTCACTCTAGTCCCTGTAAACTAAAAAATCTTCCCATTTTATTGTGAAGAGTAATTTTGTGCTCTCTATATTTACCCTTAGCTCATAGCCACATCCTAAGAACTACAATAAGGCTTCAAAGATTTTTGTGTGTGTGTGTTTTTTTTTTTTCTATTTTTGATAGTTAAAAAGCAGTTCTCTCCTAAGAGGAACTGGTCTGCCTCACCCTCATCGTAATCCTTTCCAGCAGTGTTGATCAACTTAGAACATAGTTCTAAATCTTTAAACAGGATGAGTCAGATAATGTAGTACCAGTACTTGTGTGGTATTCCCACCTGTATATTTTAAGCCTTCCAAAAAGTTGGTAATTACTTACTTTCTTTGTTGATGGACGAATTAGATTGTTCAGAATCTAACATGATGTATCTGTCAGCAGCATTGATTCATCATCACAGAATGCCAAAGCTTTCTCTGATCTGAAAAGCAGGAAGATTAATTGATCAGTGTCTTTCACCTCCTTTTCCTCCCCTGTTTTTAATTCCCTCTGTATTCTTGCCTTGTGTTCTCTCTGTCTGCTTTATTCTCAAAGAGAGACATGGTTCAGAGAGTGAGAGCAGGATTAGACACAGTGTAAAAATTACATTCATTTTTACCTTTTAGGTATTAATCTAACCTCTATTTTGTTAAGCACTCTTCTTTACAGTGTGTAATGGGTTAGGACTTCTCTCTCTCTCTTTTGTCCTATAAATCCTCTACACAATCATTTCTGTGTGACTTCTATTGGCCTTTCCAGGATTATCTCTGGTTAGACTATATTTTGCTCTCTTTAATATACAAGGAGTGGGACTTAGAGAGTTAGATACAGGGATTATAGTCTCTATGTAGTGTGTGCTCAATTATAAATATTAAATTGCACACAGAACAGTAAACTGTCTACAGACAGCAACAGTTTAATGTTCATAGTCTGATGTTGATTCTTCTCACAGGATTACATAAATAATACAAGAAACCATTCCTTAACTATCTTGAATAGGGCTTTGGCTTTCCTGCATTTATGACTAATTGACATAGTCATTGTTGTTTTCATCATCATCATCATCATTGTCAACTCTCATCACTTTGCTCTCCTCCCTGTCTAGAAGTAGCCTCTTCCCATTCTGTACCTCCCAACTGGGGCACACAAGAAATGTAGCTCAGAGTTCTGAGAGAGATGAAGGGTAGAAAGGGTAGTGAGAATTGAAGGCATAGAAGCAGATGATTATGAGCAATGAGCACAGAGACAGGAGGGTCATAAGTGAAGGATGCACCATTAATGAATGGCAAGGAGGAGAAGGTCTGGGAATCTCAGAAAAGGAGAAAATCTAAATAAGTAGGAGTAATATTGAATGTAATAATATGTTGTGATTCATGCTAACAGTGTGTTCACAATCCCATGTGTAAGGGGACAAAAAAATAAACTGCACCCAAAACACTCATCTCTGACATCTTTCATAGTTATATAGATAAAATGTATATATAATTAAATACTTTATTTATATTAGCTGGAGACAGATGTATAAAATCTAAACATAATCCTCAAATTGCACTTTCACTTTATAATTCCAGTCTACCTGACTACCTTATTTTCTAGTGTAAATAGAAAATTAACTTGTTAATACCTCTCCTATTCTTCCATGCATTGCGTGAAGATACAAATTGCAGCAAAATGATCATCATTTGGGTCAACTTGAAGACAGATGAGAAGTTAGTAATAAGGACACTGGCAATTCAACATGGAATGATAAGTTCCTGAAGCACGATTATTCATTGTCTCACCAGAGTGCTTCTGGGATGAGAGTAGTTGCATTTAATTTTGTTTGTTTGTTTGTTTGACAGGCAGAGTGGACAGTGAGAGAGAGAGACAGAGAGAAAAGTCTCCCTTTGCCGTTGGTTCACCCTCCAATGGCCGCCGCGGCCAGCGCGCCGGGCTGATCCAAAGGCAGGAGCCAGGTGCTTCTCCTGGTCTCCCATGGGGTGCAGGGCCCAAGCACTTGGGCCATCCTCCACTGCACTCCCGGGCCACAGCAGAGAGCTGGCCTGGAAGAGGGCAACCGGGACAGAATCCGGTGCCCCGACCGGGACTAGAACCCAGTATGCCGGCGCCGCAAGGCGGAAGATTAGCCTAGTGAGCCGCAGCGCTGGCCACAGAGTAGTTGCATTTAAAATCTTGGTATCACCACCTACACACAGGTCCTTGAATCTTGAGGAAATAAACCAAAGTGACGTCAGACAGTATATTTTAAAGTGTTGTGTTTCTAATGTTTGGAAACTAAATCTATTTAATTTATTCAAAGAGTTACCTGTTTTTATAGATGTTTTAGTAGTATATGTTGGAGAAACAGACTTTAATAAGATAATTTTTATATTCTCTCCAGGATTCCAAGGAACATAAAGTCTATAGGGAAGTCTGCAGAAGTGGAAGCAAACACAACCCAATATAAAATGCTATAATGGAACCAATTCAACAGTACTAACTTGGTCTGGTGTTGGAGGGACTGGTAAGGAATGGTTCTCAGCAGAACTGTCATCTGAGGTAAGCTTAACTGAAGAATGAGAAGAAATTCTCAAAAGAAGAAGGGAGGAAAGTATGTTCCCAAGTACTCCCCTCACCTGAAAACATCAAAGAGATGCATTTTTAGCAGAATATGCCTGACATGAAGATCATGAGGTGTCTGAAGGGCCTAAATCACATGTGACTGTGAAGACAGGGACAGGTAAGAATAATGCATCTAACGGGATGGCTTAGCCAATGGATTCTAAAGGCAGACCACATATTGGGAATCCAGATTTTGTTGCTGATTAGCTTTGTGAACAGGAAATTTACATAGCTTTTTGAGGCTCAGTTCTCTGAAAAATTGCGTTTCCAGTGATATCTTCCCCAAAGCGATCCTGTAAGAATTAATTGAAATAAATACTTTCATGGTACCTGGAAATAGTGAGTTTAAGTATCAAAAGGAAAAACAATACTATAAGAAATCACATCATGCAAGCATTTAATAATTCAGCATTTTAACATTCTTGTTTTTAGAATAGGATATATACAGCTGGTGCCGTGGCTCAATAGGCTAATCCTCCGCCTGCGGCGCCGGCACACTGGGTTCTAGTCCCAGTCAGGGCACCAGTTCTGTCCGGGTCGCCCCTCTTCCTGTCCAGCTCTCTGCTGTGGCCCGGGAGTGCAGTGAAGGATGGCCCAAGTGCTTGGGCCCTGCACCCACATGGGAGACCAGGAGAAGCACCTGGCTCCTGGCTTTGGATCAGCGTAGTGCGCTGGCTGCAGCGTGCCAGCCGCAGCGGCCATTGGGGGGTGAACCAACAGAAAAAGGAAGACCTTTCTCTCTGTCTCTCTCTCTCTCACTGTCTACTCTGCCTGTCAAAAAAAAAAAAAAAAGAATAGGATATATACAAACTTCTTTGTGGCCTAACAGTGGAAATTGAACAAAATTCAGAAGTACAAAATATGAGACGTAAAATCGATGCACTTCATTACATCACATGAAGATTTCTGTTAAGATCATTGTGGAAAGACAAGTAGATAAATGAATGGCAGAATGAGAGAAGGAAGCTGTAATTTTTAAATCTGATGGAATTTTTATATATAAAATAAAAGGAAATCCTACAAAACAACAAGAAAAATATAGTGACCAGTAGAAAAGTAGACAAGGAATATAAATGAAAAAAAATTTCAGAAAACAAAACCAAAAAGGCAGTGAGCATAATGATTGCTTAAATTAAATTTCAGCAGACAAAAGCAAATAAGTACACAATGAAAGAATCAGCATTTAACCTAGAAGTTAAGATGCCCATGTGCACATCAGAGTAACCATCTTCAATTTCAGGCTCTGGCTCCTGACTCCAGCTTCCTGACAGTACAGATGCTGGGAGGCAGCAGTGGTGGCTCAAAGAATTGGGTTCCTGCTTCCTATGTGGGAGATCTGAACTGTGTTCCTGGCTCCCAGCTCCAACCTTGGCCCAGGCCAGGCCATTGAGGGCATTTGGTAGGTAAACAAAGAGATGGGCACTCTCACTCCCTGTCTTCCTTTCTCTCTTCCTGTCTGTATCTATCCCTCTGCTTTTTTTTAAAGATTTATTTATTTATTTATTTGAAAGTCAGAGTTACATAGAGAGAGAAGGAGAAGCAGAGAGAGAGAGAGAGAGAGAGAGAGAGAGAGAGAGAGGTCTTCCATCTGCTGGTTCACTTCCCAATTGGCAACAATGGAGCTGTGCTGATCCAAAGCCAGGAGCCAGGCGATTCCTCTGGGTCTCCCATGTGGGTGCAGGGGCCCAAGGGCTTGAGCCATCTTCTCCTGCTTTCCCAGGCCATAGCAGAGAGCTGGATCTGAAGTGAAGCAGCCGGGACTTGAACCAACACCCATATGGGATGCTGGCACCAGAGGCGGCGGCTTTACCCTCTACACCACAGTGCCGGCCCCATCCCTCTGATTTTAAAACAATGAGATAAATTTATATTAATGAAACTGGTACAATTTACAAACTTGATATGTTGATAAGGATGGGAGATATAAGCAGTAAAGGCTGGGGCATCCATCCTGAAGAGTACTTACTAAAATAGAAATATACATAGTTGGGGCTGGCATTGTGGTGCAGCAGGTTAAAGCCCTGGCCTGAAGCGCTGGCATCCCACATGGGTGCTGGTTCTGGTCCTGGCTGCTCCTCTTCTGATCCATCTCTCTGCTATGGCCTGGGATAGCAGTAGAAGATGGCCCAAGTCCTTGGGCCCCTGCACACACATGGGAGACCCGGAAGAAGCTCTTGGCTCCTGGCTTAAGATCGGTGCAGCTCTGGCCGTTGCAGCCATCTGGGGAGTGAACCAGTGGATGGAGGACCTCTCTCTTTCACTCTGCCTCTCTCTGTAACTCTGTATTTCAAATAAAAAAAATCTTTAAAAAAAAGAAATATACATAGCAATTCCACTTCTGTGTATATACCCCAGATGTATTTATCACAATGTCTTAGAAGATATATCTGTCAGGAAAGGCCAGTTGTCTTGCAAGAGAAATAACCCCAAAATCTCACAATTGAGGAAAGGTAAGTATATTTCTTATTCATGCTACATATTCAGCACACATTGGCAGAGTCTTTTCTGCTCATCTAGCCTCTGTGAAACCCATGCAGGAAAAGCAAGTAATTTTAGACATTGCTAATCCCTGTACCAGAGGAGAAAGTGTGTTAGCAAGGGTTCTGAATGGGAGGTTATATGTTCTACCACATTAAGAGACATGTGTCACTCTTTAAACAATTCAATGGACAGAACTAGGCACGTGAATCATTTGACAATAATGGGTATAGAAACTACAGTACCCTATACATTTTCCATCCAGCTTTCTGCTAATGCATACTTTGGGATGTAGCAATGATGGCTGAAGTACATGGATCCATGTGGGAGACCCACATGGAATTCTGGTCATTGGTTTTGGCAAGGCCCATCCCTGGCTGTTATGGGCATTTGGGTAGTAATCAACCTGAAGGAGTTCTCTTGCTCTTGCTCTTGCTCTTGCTCTCTCACTGTGTGTAACTCCACCTTTCAAAATTTAGGTAGATTGCATGTGTCCAGGAATCTATCCATTTCTGATAGATTTTCCTGTTTGCTGGCATACAAGTCCTGTCGCTCCCCCTCTTCGCGGAGGAATGACACAGGACCCTACGCTGTTCTTTTGTCTGCTCAGCCCTCCCCGGGTTTGCTGCTGGTCCTTCCCGGGTTGGCTGCCGATCCTTCCACCTCCGTGGAAGGGCGGTTCCCCTTGCCACTTTCCCCACTTCCACGGGGGAGTGGCACACCGCTGGCCGGCTCTCTCAGGGGCGGCTCAGATGTTATCTGGATGTTCCCCTTAGATGTTTCTGGTGCATGTTGTCTCTCTCCTCCCTTATAGTCCTCTTCCACCAATCCCAACTCTGCTACCCACACGCCGAGTACGCTGTTCTCCTCCAATCAGGAGCAGGATCAGCTCCTGCAGGTCATCACTCAAGTTGGCGAGAGGCAGCTGCGTAGAAGTTGTTTACTCCTCTCCCAGCACCATATTGTTGGAGAGCAGATGCATAGAATAAGTCTTAATTCGAGTAACTTAGTCTAGTCCGAGTTGCTCCCCACAAAGTCCTTGTAGTAATTTCTGATGATTCTTTTTATTTCTGTGGTGTCTGTTGTTACGTTTCCTTTTTCATCTCTGATTTTATTGATTTGGGTCTTTTCTCTTTTTTTTTTTTTAGTTACTTGGGCCAATGGGGTGTCAATTTTGGTTATTTTTTCAAAAAACCAGCTCTTCGCTTGGCTGATTTTTTGTAATGTTTTTTGGATTCAATCCTGTTGATTTCTTCTCTGATTTTAATTATTTCTCTTCTCCTACTAGATTTGGGTCTGGTTTGCTGCAGTTTTTCTAGGTCCTTGAGATGTGCTGAAAGCTCATCTATTTGGTGCCTTTCCAATTTCTTGATATAGGCACCTATTGCTATAAACTTGCCTCTCAATACTGCTTTTGCCGTATCCCATAAGTTTTGATATGTTGTGTTGTTATCCTCATTTACTTCCAGAAAGTTTTTGATTTCTCTTTTGATTTCTTGAATGACCCAGTGTTCATTCAGGAACATGTTGTTCAATCTCCATGTGTTTGCATACACTCTAGGGTTTCCTGAGTTGCTAATTTCCAGCTTCATTCTGCTGTGGTCTGAGAAGCTGCCTGGTATGATTCTAATTCTTTTAAATTTGCTGAGACTTGCTTTATGGCCTAGTATGTGATCAATCCTAGAGAAGGTTCCATGCACTGCTGAGAAGAATGTAAAGTCTTCAGATGTAGGATTGAAAATTCTGTAGATATCTGTTAGATCCATTTGGGCAATAGTGTCGATTAAATCTGCTATTTCCTTGTTGATCTTCTGTCCGGATGATCTGTCTATTTCTGAGAGTGGAGTATTGAAGTCCCCCAGTACTATTGTATTGGAATCTAAGTCTCCCTTTAAGTCCCTTAACATATCTTTTAAATAAACTGGTGCCCTGTAATTAGGTGCATATACATTTATAATAGTTACACTTTCCTGTTGAATTGAACCCTTAATCATTACATAGTGCCCCTCTTTGTCTCTCTTAACAGTTTTTATATTAAAGTTTATTTTTTCTGATATTAATATGGCTACACCTGTTTTTTTTTTTTTTGATTTCTGTTGGCATGGAATATCTTTTTCCAACCTTTCACTTTCAGTCTGCATGCATCTTTGTTAGAGAGATGTGTTTCTTGTAGGCAACAAATAGTTGGGTTTTGTTCCTTAAGCCAATCAGCCAATTGGTGTCTTTTAACTGAAGAGTTAAGTCCATCAACATTTAATGTGACTATTGATACATAGTGACTTTGCCCTGCCATTTGCCAAAGATATTTTCTAGTATATGCTTTGAGCTTTTATGCTCTTTTACTGGTAGGTTTTCTTCCTTTACCTTCTTTCATATTGATGGCTGTGTTTCTGTGTTCCTGAGTGTAGCACATCTTTAAGTATCTTTTGCAGGGCTGGACGAGTGGCGGCAAAGTCTTTCAATTTCTGTTTGCTATGAAAGGTCTTTATTTCACCTTCATTCACAAATGAGAGCTTAGCAGGATACAATATTCTGTGCTGGCAATTTTTCTCTCTTAGCACTTGTGCTATGTCTCGCCATTCCCTCCTAGCCTATAGTGTTTCTGATGAGAAGTCTGCTGTGTGTCTGATTGGAGATCCTCTGAGAGCAATCTGACGTTTCTCTCTTGCGCATTTTAGGATCTTTTCTTTATGTTTCACTGTGGTAAGTTTAATTACCACGTGCCGTGGTGAGGATCTCTTTTGGTCATGTTTATTGGGGGTTCTATGAGCTTCCTGTACTAGGATGTCTCTGTCCTTCTCCAAACCCGGAAAGTTCTCTGCTAGTATCTCACTAAAAAGGCCTTCTAATCCTTTCTCTCTCTCCATGCCTTCAGGAACTCCTAGAACTCGAATGTTGGTTTTTTTAATAGTATCCTGTAGATTCCCAACAATATTTTTTAGATTTCTAATTTCCTCTTCTTTTCTTTGGTTTGACTGTATGTTTTCCTGTGCTCTGTCTTCTAAGTCTGATATTCTCTCTTCTGTTTCACTGACTCTGTTTTTTAGACTTTCTAATGTGTTTGTCATTTGATCTATTGAGCTCTTCATTTCATTTTGATTTCTCTTCACTATCACACTTTCCTGTTCTACTAGTTTCTGCGTTTCATTTTGATTCTTCCTTAAAATTTCATTTTCATGAGAGAGATTTCAATCCTGTCCAATAAGGATTTCTGTAGTTCAAGGATTTGCTTTTGAAAACTTCTAAATGTTCTTATCATAAATTTTTTGAAATCCGTATCTTACATTTCTTCTATCTCATCATCTTCATAATCTCGGCTTGGGGTGTTTTGTTTATTTGGAGGCGTCGTAGTGTCATCGTTGATCTTGTTCCCTCGATTTTTGTGTTTGTTGCTTGGCATTGTTAATTCTTCTTCCCTCACTGTGAGTGCCAGGCAACGACTAATGATACTATGTCTGTGTTAAGTGGACTGTCTGCTGTTGGAGGAGCCTTGGAGGCTTGAGATGGGTGTGGCCTGAGAGCTCTGCTTCGTTCTTCCGGGTTACGGGTTACGGGTGTGCAAAGGTGACACCCTCAGGTTATGCATGGTAAATCTCTCTTTTAATTTCTTTCTTTCTTTATTTTATTTTTTTATTCAGGAGGTAAGTTATACCGCACGGCTGAGCAGAATTGATGGTATTTAGCTTCCGATCTCTGGCTTCTACCCAAAGAGTCTGTGTAGGCTCAGTTTCTCCTGCGGACTCACACTGGGTTGCCTAGGCTACTGAATTGTAGCGCCTTAGTTCCTTAGCTCTACCCTTTTGTTATGTATATCCAGAGTGGGGCCTCCTCTTTGTCTCTTGCTTGCCTTTGCAAGGTTGGCGGAGAGAGAAACTTTTTTTTTTTCCTTCTCTCCTGTAGTCAGTCTGGTGAACTTTCCCG